GAAAAAAGACAAAAAAAAAAAAAAAAAAAGAAAAGAAAAAAAAAAACCAGGTGAAATTAATTTTAATACATTGTGTCTAACCCAACATATCTTAATTATCATTTCAACATGTAACCAACATAAAAGTTATTCATGAGATACTTTACATTCCTTTCTTGTGCTGAACCTGAAACCAGATGCACACTCTATGCTCACAGCAGCTGGGCCAGTGCTTAGGCCCATGACAGTCCATGTGGCTCTGGGCCTTCCTTCTTTGCACATTTATACATGAATCTAACGTGGCACATGACCAATGATGAACACACGGATGTTGTCTGTCTGTCCAGAATCTCTGCGGTGTGCAGTCACCCCACACTCAGGGCTTGGGCCTGCCCTTCTCATGGGATGGGGCGGGCTGTGTCCCTGTCAGCCCCACACAGCCTCCCTCCACCTTGTGGCTGCATCCCACTGTGTCAACCACAATGAGTTCTTCGGTCTTCCTGGTCTTTCACTGCCACCAGCACCACTGTCTTTGCATGCACACTTCTGTGCATGCGTGTGCACGTCTAAGGGCTCTGATAAGATTGCTGGACTACTCTCAAGAGACTGGATCCTGCTCAGCAAAGGCAGCAAGGGAGATCCACTCTGGCTCTTTCCTCAGACCCATCGTTTCACCACAAAGCTGTCCCTTGAGCACATGGGGTGCCCAGTTAAGAACAGCACTGGTGACACAACATCCCCGAGTGGCAGCATGTGGCTTGCACCTACCTCCCACTCCTGGAAGAGGCGGATCAAGTACTCATAGTTGCGGGCCCGCAAGGCCAGGTGGTCGATGAGCAGCAGCATGCACAGGGGGTCGTCATCTGGCTCGAGGCTTCCAGAGTCAGCACAGAGAGAAGGAGCAAAGAAGAGCAGGAGAGGTCATCACTGCCCATGGTGGACCTGCACAGATGGCCGTGGATCTGCGACCCCGGCAGTGGGGACTGGCAGCAGCATGGCCTCATGTGGACACTCACCTCAGAATGAGCTTGCAGTACTCCAGTGCGGTACGCGGGCAGCCTCGCTTCTCCAGGAAGCTCATCTGCTTGTAGAGGGCCAGGTAGAAGCTCCTAGATCCAAAATAGTCCTCCGTGAATTAGAGCAACAGCAGAGTCAGTCCACCCCACCCACTGCTGTCTGGGTTTTGTGGCACTTCCTACATGGCCTAACGCACAGAGAATGTTTGCGAATGTTCCCCATGTGTCTGGAGAGAAGGGAGTGCTCGTCTCGCTGATTAGAGTTATATATATATACATTTAGATGTTGAAAGGCAAGTTTTCTTGAAATCTTTATCTTCTTATTTATGTTTACGATTCATCGTTTGAGGGAAGAGGGTTAAACTCTTCTACTATAATTACGATCTTCATTTATCC